ATCTCGCGGTCGGTGAGCTCGAGCCCCGCGTCGGGCTCTGGGCTGATGGCTCGGAGCCTGGAGCCTGCTTCGGATTCTATGTCTCCCTCTCTCTGACCCTCCCTCATTCATGCTCTGTCTCTCTCTGTCTCAAAAATAAATAAACGTTAAAAAAAAATTAAAAAAAAAAAAAAGAAATGCATACGTAGCTCTCATCACGCGCCAGACGCCATTCAAAGCATTTTACAAACACCAGCTCATATAGTCCGCGTGCCAACCCTGTGAGATAGATGCTTTCTGTTACCCTCGTTTTATAGCAGGAGAGGAAATGGGACGCAGAGAGTCAGGTTACTGACGGAGCTGGGGATCAACTCACAGGCAATTTGACTCCAGAAACCATCCCCTTAATCCCGCAGGCTGTCCCCTCTGAGCCCCGGTCCTTGGCCACCGCACCCTGCAGTGGCGGGGCTCACTCAGAGGAAAGGATCCCAGATGCAAAGGCAAGACCGGTGTAGCGCTTCTCCTGGGAACCTGCAGCATTTCCTCGGAAGATTCCCCAGGGCAAGGAGGGGAAGCCCAGGAGAGACCCACCCGGAGCAGATACACCTGACCCCCTTCCCTCACGTCCCCCTGGGGCCTGACACCCACCTGGTGATCTCACTGCCCTGGGAGAGAGCCAGGACTGCAAGTAGCACCACGAGACACTTCATCCTGGACGATGGGCTGGCCACTGCTCGAGCCGGTGCCCGTTCCCACAGCCTTTATAGAGCGAGCCCCGTCCCCTCCGGCTGGAGGCCCAGGCTGCGGAGATAACCCCCTGACTTCGGGCTGTTCCCCAAACACATTAAGATAGGACCCAGAGTACCTAACACCCACTCCGATAAGGGCCACGAATTCCACCACCGCAGGGACTTCAAAGTGGAAGTGTACATGTGCTGGGGAATGTCCCAGAGGCCTCCCTGACCTGATTTCCCCTTCCACAAGGGACTTCTCGAGCGAACCCAGGCAGGGCCACCCCCGGAAACCTGTGTCGCCTTCCACCTTGCGGGCTGTAAAGAGGTCTCTTCGCAGCAGCCCCCCTCCCCCTGTCCGAGCTGCCTCTCCTGCCTGGGCCTGACTTCACAGACAGCCAGCAGCCTGCTCTGCCCGGGATCCTCCGGCTCAGGCCTCCCAGCCCCGTGTTCCAAGGAGCATTCAGTGCACTGCCCAGGCAGGGATGTTCCTTCAGTTGGCCACCCTGGTCTAAGAGAGACGGCAGGCCCGACACTCCTGCACCGTCAGGGCCGTGGCCCCCGGTTCCATGCTGGAAGGGTGTTGGGAAGGGCAGGATAGGTGCCGGATCCCTTGAGCAACGGAGGGCTGGCGAGGGTGAGCAGGGGAGGCAGGCGTGTGCCGCGCACACACGGAGGGCGGAAAATGTGGCGTGATGGTCAGGTTTAGGCAACAGGTTAGGCCGAGAGCCGGCACCTTTGTCCACACAAAGGTCTAGGAAGAGCTTCCCCGAAACACACATGTGGGGCTTTGTGATGAGTGGAGGGCCCCTGAGAGAGAATGAGGGCCAAAAGGAAAACAAAGACTCAGCCACAGAAGCGGTAGAGAAGACCACACCTTGGGACGAGGGGAGGCTATAAACTGGAAAGTCAGGATCAAGTCAGAATAAGGCAGGGCCACGGGTTGGCAGGAGAGCATGGGGCCGGCCACCGACAGCCTTCAGGACAGACATCAGGGTAGCAAGGGAGGCCTGGTGGGGGTGGACTAGAGAGGGCAGGCTGGGTGTCCAAAGAGGCGGGCATGTCGTGGGCCCTGGACACAGGGGCATGCTGAGAGAGACAGGCCTGGAAGTTTCCTGCATTTGACGTGAGGGCCTCAGGAGGCCCATCGATGGGGGACCCGAGTGCTTTATGGAAGGACTTAGGAAGACAGCCAGATGTGATCCCTCCCATGAGATGCCACACCCAGCCATCCTGCTCAGAAGGCCAGGACACTGCTGCCCCCGGTGCCCCAGGACATGGCTAGGAGCACATCTTCATGGCACCCTCCCACCCGGACATTCCAAAAGCCAGGGAAGCAGAGAGAAAAAAAAACACCGCTCAACAGTACCCCATGTTTCCTGTTTCTTCCCTGAAGACATTTGCCCTGCCAGGCCGGGGCCGTATGTCCTGCCCCAGTGGCCCTGCCTCCGAGTGGTCTTTCCTCCCTCACCCCAGCACGGAGCATGAGGCAGAGAAGAGGCTCACTAAACGTTTGGTTAAGCAAATGAGTTAATGAATGGTCTTCCTACCCTTCTGGAGGCACCACAGGTCACATCTTTATTATGAGCTACAGATGAGGAGACAGAGACTCAGAGAGGTTGAGGGACTTGCTTGAACTGCCACAGATCCCTGGTCTGACACCCTACATAATGTCCCACAGGGCCCGGCATTCTATGGCAATTTCATGAATTTGCAATATCCTGTCTGGACCGGCTCTGCTCCTAGCTCACTCCTGCTGACCGCCGGATACCCCTTGGGACGGCCATGCCTGTGCCCATCCTCCGGGGCTGGGACCCTCCAGGGTCAACACCACCAAGTGGGAGCGTTGTAGCAACTCTGCTCCACGTCACCAGGGGCCCAGCCCGACCCAGTGTCAAACGGTCCTGGACAATGAGCCTGGGAGGTCAGGTTCAGCCATCCCTCCCATCGGAAGGTGACCCTCAAAGCCAAAAACTAAAGACCCCTTAGCACTGGTTGCTTCGTGTTTACTCACGAGATTGAGATCATTCTAACAGCATTCAAGTGCACTCTATCAGGAACGTTGCCCCAGATGGCACAGAGCGTTAGAACTGCTTATCCATGGGTGCAGGCCAAGAATTGCAAAAAGCTTTTAGAAAAACCATGATAAGATTTCATCACTGGCTACCCAGTACCAGGTGGGGACAACTCCCCTTCATCTAGATTTTTTTCTAAGTTTCTTATTAACTTTGAGAGAGAGAGAGCACACATAGGGGAGGGACAGAGAGAGAGAATCCCAAGTAGGGTCCACACTGTGCGTCTGTACAGACCTGACACGGGGCTTGAACTCACAAACCATGAGATCATGACATGGGCCAAAATCAAGAGTCGGTTGCTTCACTGACTGAGCCACCCAGGCGCCCTCCACCTTGGTCTACATTCTTTGTGCCTGGTGACTAACCAACAAAAGTGGCTAAAAAAATCAGGGACTTGGGACAACCTGTCCTGGGTGCCCACTCTGTGGTCTCCACTCAGACATCAGCAGCAACAAAGCCAGTTCAACTCATAACTTGAGAAGTTCTATGTGCGAACCATGGCCACTGAGATATGGAGCTGGTGTCATCTCCACGCCTGGGGAGCCCACAGTCGGGTGGGGACGGATCGGATCCCATGTGTGACCCTTCTGTGATAAGTGGTATAGGAGGAAATCCAAAGGGACACACATCTCCCACTGCAAGGTGCCAGTTGACAAGGGAGCATGGCTTCTGGAAAGTGCATGTGTGACCATCCTGGGCTTCAGTCCTGGGTCTGTCACATGGTCCTGTGGCCTTGAGCAAGTTCCTTCATTTCTTGATGCCTCAGTTTCCTCTTCTGACACTGAAATGCTCATGTGAGGATCAAAGGACAGTCCGGTGCTACCATGTGTTAAGACCTCTATAAATACGAGTCGTAAATGACTGCAATTGCGTGACCTTGAATGTTCCATGTCATTCCCCAGCCTTGGTGATATGTGGGATTTACAAGCTCATGTTGCTGGTCTGAACCTCAGGTCTGTACAAAGCATCTGTTCACCTCCTGTTCAAGAAATCAATTGAATTTCGGCATTGACCCTCCAGGCTGGGGGCAAGTTAATCTTGGTCATTTTTGCATAGTGCCCCACAGATATGCTTCAGCACACATGACTCTCCAGCAGGCCCCAGGTCCCTGCCACTGATGACCCACCTGTCTCCCTTGCCTCTACCTTCTACAACCTCTGAGGAACCCTGAGTTCTCTTACGGGCTTAGGCTTCAGGCAACAACATCCTGACCTGGAAATCCTACACGTTGCCTTGGCTCTCTGCCCTGCCCACATCTTCCTCGAGGCAAAAAAAAAAAAAAAAGGTAGTGACGTCGCTTCTTTTCCTGAGGAAAAGAGAAAGGAGAAAATGAGAGAATTTTTTAAAAGCGTAAATCAGGGGCGCCTGGGTGGCTCAGTCAATGAGGCATCTGACTTGGGCTCAGGTCATGATCTCTCCATTCGTGGGCTTGAGCCCCCGTCGAGCTCTGTGCTGACAGCTCAGAGCCTTCAGCTGCTTCGGATTCTGTGTCTCCCTCTCTCTGCTCCTCCCTGGCTCGTGCTCTGTCTCTCTCTCAAAAATAAATAAACATCAAAAAAAGTTTTTAATTTAAAATACATCCACCCATTTCACAGATGAATAAACAGGAGCTTAGAAAGCTCGACCCATCTTCCAAAGTCACTCAGCAATTCACAAGGGATCTGGGATCCAAACTTGGGTCTGTTTGACTCTTGACCACACATCCTCTCAGCCTGACCACATGGCTCTCACAGCACCAAAATTCCAAACATCGGCAAAGACGGCCACTTTGTGCCCACACTTGACAAGCCTCAGGCTGAAGATGAAGAGGTCCTGGGGTCCTTCACACAGGACAGAGGAACAGCAAAGGCTCACCCAGGAAAGACCTTGAGAGGGCAGAGACCTGGAAAATGCAACAAAAAAAAAAAAAAAAGGTGAGGGTGGCACGTGGGTGGCTCAGTCGGTTAAGCAGCCGACTCCTGATTTCAGCTCAGGTCATGATCTCTCATGGGATCATGGGATTGAGCCCCAGCTTGGGCTCTGTGCAGATAGCTTGGAGCCTGCTTGGGCTTCTCTCTCTGTCTCTCTCTCTCTGTCTCTCTCTCTCTCTGCCCCTCTCCTGCTCAAGCTCTAAATAAATAAATAGACATTAAAAAACAAGAAAATGCATCGGAAGCCTACCCTGAACATTTGTAAAACTCCCTACGCTTCTCCTTTCTTGCCCCAGGTGACCTCTGTGAGTGATATACTGGCCTGTCCACCAGTCTGTCAGCATAACTTTGTGGGGAGAAACGCTCCCAGCCTCCAAAAGATGCACCTCTATTTGTTGTGCAGTAAGCACCCTAAGGCCTGGAAACATCTGTCCAACGCATTGTGGAATTGCCAGGTCCTCTTGGGAGAAGGGCAGGGTGGGGGTCCTGCCCTGCCGACAGCAGAGCACATTACTAGTCACAGCAAACTGCCCTGGGGAAGCCCATCCAGCTCCGGAAGGGGACGAGGAGAAGGAGGGAGGAGTCGAGGCAAATGTCCACAGCACTGATGCAGGACTCTGGGCACTTGGCCAAATCCGGTCTCTAGATCACTGTGTCACGCATCTTGAGATCACGTTTTGCTTTACACAAACAGATTTAAGGCATCACTAGACAGCTAGGGAGGAGGACGGGGTCAAAATTTCAAGCGATAGTATTGTAGTGATGTCAGTTTCACCAAGTTCACAGCTTTGATATTCGTACTGATTCGTATTTTAGCAATTATAAGAAAATGCCCTTGATTGTTGGACACACTGAAGTAAAGGAGCAGCGTGCCTCCCAAGTTCTAACAGGGTTTCTAAGAGACCAGAAAACATGCAGAGAGGGAGAAGAGAAGAAAGCAAAGGTGGCGAGCTGTCAACGTATGTGGTGTCTGGGTAAAGGTGTGCAGGACTTC